ATTAGGATGTTAAAATTCATGTTAGCATGTTAATTAAATTTTCATTCTTGCTTATATATATCTGACGCTAAACTGCTTAATCTGTTAAAAATAAAAATTTGGGGGGATGAAAAACATTTTCAAAACTGGAATTTTATTTTTTTTCAAATGCACTACAAGTGAATTTGATTTTAAAAGAAAAATTGATTATGTATATGAAGTTATATTAGGGAAGTAAAATTTGATTTTAGAAATGAGTAAGAAATTTATTTAAAATTTTAAGTAATGAAGAAAAACTTTAAGTTAAAATTTTTTAGTATAGAAAATGATTAATATAAGTCGTTATCTTTATTAAGAAAAAGTGTATTTTTGAAAAATTTAGATAATTTAGACTTTTATTTTTAATACTTAAATTTCTTTTATTAAAATGATAAAATGATTTTCAAAATTATTATTATATCTATAAGTAAAATTTTTATATGAAGGCTTTACTTTAGGAAAGGAGAAGTGGAATTCAAAATCATTAAAGGCCTATCCAGATATAGTAATTCTTGCCTAAAAAGGAAAAAGAAGAAGAAAAGAAAAAGAAAAAGAAAATAAAAGAAAAAAGAAAAAGAAAAAGAAAAGAGATGTAAGGGAGGAGAAGCTTGAGAATTAGTGCTTAATCAAAAATTAGTTCTACGTTTGATCTTTTTAAAGTATAAGACTTGATAAAATTTTAAGCTTATAAATATAATATAGTAAGTAAAATTATTTTTAATTCAATTTGGGCCAAAATGCTTAGAAGTCAGGTTTGGGTTAGGTTAACCATGACATTAAGCTAAATTGATTGGTCAATAATGTGTAGATTATTGTCATGAGGAGTTTAAAAAGAGATTTGGAGTGATTTTGAATTGATTTGGAGGTTCAATTTGAAGGATTTTGGGCATTTGGTCAATTTGGGTGTGTTGGGTTAGAATTAGGTCTAGGTTGGGCTAAGTACAAATTGATAATTGAAAATGATCTATATGAATATCATGAAGAGTTATCAACATAAATTGGGTGTCAATTTGGGCGTTAGGTGATAGACATAAAATATTTAGTGCTTTTAGAAACATTTTTAGACCTATTATTGAGATATTGCGCTTTAATGGAAGGTATTTTGGTGTTTTTCTTGTAAATACAGGTAAAAAGGGTGAAAAATGCTTAAATGAGTAAAAAAGGATCAAATCTAGAGCAAAAGAGTGAAAAATGCGCAAACGAGTTTTGGCGCCTAAGCGCCGGTTAAACAGAGAAGGCCGCGCCTAAGCACCGAGACCCCGCACTTAAGCGTCAATTACTTAAGCGTCAGTTGTAGTTACTAGATGAGTAAAATTGATTTTCACGAATTTCGAAGAGGTTTTTGAGGCACCCATTGGCATAACATGTGGTTGGAACAACTATGGACGAAAATTATCATGAAAGGATGCACCTCTTGGGCAAATACATCGAATCAAGACACATTTTGAAGAGATCCCAAGGCACCTCTTGGAAAACTATAAAAGAAAGAAGAGAGGACTTAGAAAAGAGCCCTGAAAATATTGGCAAGTTTTGAAATTTCTTTTCTGGGAGTTAATTCATAGAGATTT